TACAGTAACTCAGTATAATTAGATTACAGTGAACACACACACACACACTGAGATAGCAACACTATCAATTGTAATTATTAAAGTGTGTGTCCATAAGCAGTGTTATGTTCAATACCAATGATATGATCTTGTTGTTCAGTTGGTACATGATATATTGGTTCATCTATAATACCAATGTCTACTGGTGATCTTTCTCTTAGTGTATTCCCTTTATTCTTCATTATACAGTATACAATGATACTAGTAATTATTGATGTAATGAGTCCAGTTAATAGACCAGTGATAGGTACTGCAATAGCAACTGAATGTGTGTGTATAATAGATACATTAGATATGTACATACATTAATGTATTAACTAACCAGAACTGATGATGGATCCTGTACATGTTGATTGTGATACTGTTATGACAGAAGTACAGCCTAATAAATGTAATATAGTAACACCATTATATAACTAATAATTTTGATGGAGGGATAACTTTGGGGTCAATTTGACTACTTGATAAGCATTTACTAACACAATTATTTATTTTTAAAATGGTCACTATCTATTATACATTCAGCAATTGATCAGTCAGATAATGTGTCATTTTATAATTAAAAACCAGATGATATTTTTCATAAATGGCCATAACTTGGTATTTTAAAAGTAATCATAATTTTGACTGATTTATTGGGTAACGCCAGAGTTAAAACAAAAAATTTAACTTGAAGTCAGCTCAAACTTTCTACACAGCATAAGGACATCAATATGTATCAGAAAATGTAATAAAAATTTGGGGTGATTTTGGAGCCATTTTTTAAAAAAACCATTAGCTATAGCCTTGGGTATTTTTCAGATTTTTGGCATTTTCTTAAGATGGCCGTAACTTGAAAAATTGAAGTCGGAATCAGCTCAAACTTTCTACACAGCATAAGGACATCAATATGTATCAAAAAATGTAATAAAAATTTGGGGTGATTTTGGAGCCATTTTTTGGATAAAACCATGGGCTATATATAGCCTTGAGTATTTTTCAAATTTTTTGAGTTTTCTTAAAATGGCCGTAACTTGAAAAAATGAAGCCGGAATCAACTCAAACTTTCTACACAGCATAAGGACATCAATATGTATCAGAAAATGTAATAAAAATTTGGGGTGATTTTGGAGCCATTTTTTGAAAAAACCATGAGCTATAGCCTTGAGTATTTTTCAAATTTTTGGCGTTTTTTTTAATGGTTGTAACTTGAAAAATTGAAGTCGGAATCAACTCAAACTTTCTACACAGCATAAATACATCAATATATATCAGAAAGTGTAATAAAAATTTGGGGTAATTTTGGAGCCATTTTTTGGATAAAACCATGGGCTATATAGCCTTGGGTATTTTTCAGATTTTTGGCATTTTCTTAAGATGGCTGTAACTTGAAAAATTGAAGTTGGAATCAACTCAAACTTTCTGCATAGCAACATCAATTATGTATCAGAAAATTTAATAAAATTTTGCAGCAATTACAGAGCCATTTTTAGAATAACATCCTATAGCTGGTTTATTTTGTGGCCTCAAATTTTTCTTGTACATTATTTATTCTTAATTACAACTAATGGCCACACATTCAATACCTTCTCCAAATTGATCACTGTATTGTGTATATATACAGTAACTTACATTCAGAACAGTTATCCTCTGTATTTGTTAGCAGTTGTGTCATTATTGTCAGTGATGGTAATGGTATTGTTGAATATTCAGAGCTAATGTACTGAGTTATGTCATAATCATCAATGCTTGAGTCACTGCTCATCAGTATAGGACTGGATCCAGTAGTATCAATACTGACTATTAATGATAATAATAATAAAATTAATATAGTTCTCATTGTTATAAGTTTCATGTGTACTAGGTTTGTATCACAAAATAATTTGTTGTCAAAATTTTAGTATATGAACTTTTATTTTAGCACTCTACCAGCCATTATACCATACCTACCAGGTAATGAAGGAAATACCATATCAGTTGAACTGGTTGTTAATGTTGAAATATGCTGCTCAGTTCTGATAACTATAGATATGAAACATAACTACATTCAAAAAGATGCATTAATCATTAATAAACAAACCTGTAATGTTATCTTGTGGTCCCTCTCCAATAGCATTAACTGGTTTTATGTATACAGTATATTCATTATTGGGATATAGTCCATTAATAGTTACATTAGTATCAGTTGTATTAATAGTAATATTGTGTACACTAACAATGTAATGTACTGGAGGATAATGTAATGTAACATCCTATTAATAATAATAATGATTTATAGTTAATAATATCTTAACATACTTCATTGATGTTCCACCATATTGTAATACTATCAGTTGATATCTGATCCCAACTAATATTAACAACTTGAGCTGGTACTATAAGAAATACAATGAGTGTGTGTGTATAGTACTTACCATTCCATATATACTGTATTAATGATGAAGGAGGTCCTTCTCTTCCAATAGTATCAATAGGAATAATAATAAATGAATAATTAGTACCAATAATAAGAGAAGGAATAGTTGCTGATGATTCATTATTGATCATATTTCCATTAATATTATCATCACTGATTATTGTAATATTATAATATTGAATACAGTGTACTTCATCATTCTTTTGATAGTACCAGTTCATCAATACTGTATTGTTATTAATTGGTATTATCTTTATATTAATAACTGATACTGGTACACCTATACATAGATACAGTATTATGATACATATGGTTCATGATGTATCTTACCTGCAATATGTACTGTTAATGTACTGTAGTGACGTCCATTTCCAGAGCATTTAATTTTAGTTCCATGAAGGTTTAATGGAACAGACTCTCTTGTAGCAGTACTTGTTAATATTGATGTAGAATCATTGGTATCAGTAATTTCTATTATAAACCCTTTGAGAAGTTCAGGATTAGTATTGATTAGAACACGATTTGCCTTGTCTATTCTCCATACAACAACTACTCCCTTTTTATAGCTAGTAATACAAGTGAATACTAGTGTATCTCCAGGACATACAATATCATATGATGGAGAGGACTGGCTGAATGATAGCACTGTACCTGATGATACTAAATATATATAGTTACTAATATGATAAAACATTAAAAAACTTACTGTAAGTGATACTTGACAACAAAATAAAGAATATGATAATCATCTTTGAATGTCAGCAACACCTTCATACATTAAACACACAAAGCACTTGTGAGACACTTCACTTTGTTATTATTTAGGAATTACTTGTTATTCCTTATATTGTATGAGGTATTGATTAATACTCTCCTCCTATGAATAATACATGTCATGCCCATCCACCTTCTGTTGCAATATTAATTTGGGGGAAAATGGTGAATGTTTTATTGAGTAAATGCAAACTGGGACCTGAAAGGAGTAAGAGTTTGAGATGCAGTTTATTGATGATTTATCACAAGTTAATGGATACTTGTCTTCATATTAGCACACATGCAGAACCTTAGGTTATAAAATTTATTAAATAGCTATTAAATTTATTCATTTTCTAACTTCCAATTGGCATTTCCCAGTTCAATTGTACATCAATACTTTCATCACTTTCTTGAGAAAACAATGAAACATTCCCAAATGAAAACTAATTAGTTAAATAAGCTAATGTAAACATAGGGAAAGTCCATATAATTTTAAGCATGGGGAAATTGTTTTATTTAGGTTATTTATGGTGCAATGAACTATACTGCACAAAATTACTCTTATGCAGAAGGATATCAGCAACACATTGTCATCACTTGGTGAGATTTGGTGTAATTATGTTGCAAAATTTTTGGAATATCTTGTAATCAATAGCTTATAGCTTACTCCTACACATGCTCTACTCCTACTCATACTTCTATACCCGTCTTTTCTACTAATCAGGAGATGAAGCTGCTCTCTTCACTTTCATTTGCCTACTGTTTTCTTTCTCTTGTTTCCTCTCAATCAACAGGTGTGTTGAAACAGATGAATGAGTTTCTGTCACAGTGACTCTGCTAACTTTCTTTAGATTTTAAGTAGAATGCTTACTGTTTTGCCCATTTCTACACCTATATTAACTTTGCCCAATAATAGCATTAGATCTAGAGAGTATATGTGATAGCAAAATGTGCTTGTGTATCTACGTCACTAGTATACTTTATAATGTATATAATATTATAATACAGATTGTATATAATAATGTATACCCTTAGCTTGCCCCTGCATGACACCCTGCAAAAGCGTCACCCATTGCATCTGAAACTCTAGTCTTAATTTTTTATTTTAGTTACATTATCTCCACCAAACGGTACTGTATCTGTTTGTCAAGGAAAAGTAGAAACAATAACATGTAATGTAACTTATTCTCCTGATCAAATGTTATTATGGGCCTATAGTGGAGGTCCTGGAGGAGGAGCAGTCAATTTTGGCAGTGGAAATACTGACCCTCAACAACTGCCACCGTTTAATTTTACATTACAGTGTCAGAATAATGTCACACTAATCTCAACTGGAGTTGTTAATGTGTCTACTTTAATAAATGGGAGCACCCTTGAGTGTAGGAATACATTATCAATCGATGATTCAAGTATCAGAAAACACATCAACTTTAGTGTTAAACGTAAGTGAGTTTTGATTATTAGTGGTATGATACTGCTCTCTACCATCCTTGGTTGGACCTTTTTGTTTTATTGGAGGTGCTAACTAAAATATAAATAGTGGAGAGGGAGTGGTGGGAAGGAATGTGGGTACATAACATAGCTCATTAAGTAATTTTTATTGACATTCCAATTAAAGGTGGTTATGATAGCTGCACTCTCAAGAGATGCATGTAAGGCATTTATTAATGATGCATCAATTGTTATTGTCTATAGTAAAATTATGCTTGAATTATTTTTGTCTTATTATAGATTCAGTACCTATCAGTTATCTTCATGTTAATGCTGTATCTTCAGATACATTATTAATAATTTGGACTGGAGCTGATTGTATACAATCATATGATGTATTCATTAATGGAGCTAATGTTAATACTACCAGTGGAATGAGTCTATTGTATAATACTGGAGGAGCTATTGGCAGTATTGATGTATTGGTTAATAGTGTTGATTATTATGGAAGTGCAGTGGGTAATTTATCAACTCAATATCAATTTAACAGTGAGTGATTTTACACCTTAAATTATGCATCATTAACCTATCATGGAGATTCCTATTGATAATGTTATGATAAGCTACAGTTGTGTACTATTAAACTTGGCAGTGTTCTATTTTTAAAATCATAATTCTATTTTTAGAGTATAACTTTGAAGTTGAGGCTATTATTAGTAACAATATGTCACTGGTCATAATAATTAAGGTAATATTGTTATATTGATATTAATAATTTTTATACATGGCAATTAAAGTATCAATGGAAATTACAGTATTATCTTCTGCTTTATAGAAGCTTGAGCTGATTCAAACTTAAATTTTTCAAGTTACGGCCATTTTTAAAAAATATCCAAGGCTATATAGCCCATGGTTTTTTCCTAAAAATGCCTTCGAAATCACCCCAATTTTTTTACATTTTGTGATACATATTGATGTATTTATGCTATGCAGCATTGAAAACTTGCCAATTGTTATATTTTATAGGATAAGTACATCAATCAACAGCCTGCTCCATTGTCCTGTGAATTGACTGTAACTAACTTAACTCAACCATCAATGGATTGTCTTTCTAAAAGATTGTTTGTATTCACTAATGTCACTGAAGGAGATGTGTATAATTATACTGTTACTATTACTAATGTCATTGGGTCTACTGTTAAGAATGGCTCCATAGGTATAGTGGGTGTACCGGTATTGAGTCAACTTATTTTATGATAATTTATTAAAAAATAGTATCATTTTGTTATGCTAAATATGTACATGTAGTCTACACTTATAATGAAAATAGTTTAATGTATAATTTTTTAACTTGCAGTACTAGAACAAACGTGTCCACCAAGTGCTCAAAGTTGCTGTTCAGCTTTTCCGATTTCTCACCAGTCTTGTTCTGTATCAAGTCAGTATTATATAGTCTAGTACTGGAATTATATTTTGTGCTTCTGAATTTGCAGACTTAAATTTAGTATTATTGTAATATAATGTGAAGCCTCCTGAATTCATAAATATTAGGATTTATCTATTTTTGAATTCTCGCTCAAAATAGAATGTAAAATTATGTTGCTTTTGCTATTAAATACTTCATGTTGTTATTCACTTATTGCTTCTTGTTATTCTTGTTTTTCGTATCAATGTTATTATTATTATTATTATTATTATTATTACAGTCAAAAAGAAAAAACCAAAAATTATTATTATTATTATTATTATTATTATTATTATTAGATACAGAATCAAGCACACCATCTCCCACTATGGAATCCTGTGGATCGAATTGTGTCCTTCCTTGGATAGTTGGTGTGATAGTTGGGACAGTAGTGGTTTCACTTTTGATTTAGCTTTTACTTCAAAGGTAAAAATAATAATGAAATCTGCTTTATTTTCATTATAAGCACTGATCATGTAGACTTACAACATTGTGCACTACAAGAAGCATAATGTCTCCCTGAGTAGAAAATATTAGTGTTGTAATAGCTCTTCATTAGTATCAATTCTATTAATAACTTAGACATTTCATTAGCTACATATGCAGTGTGTGTATCAATTTAGTTTTCCTTTTTGATAGTCAATTTAATCAAACAACAAAACTTACTGTCTATTTCAATATAATCACACAAAAATTAATAGCTACTTATACATTGTATACATTTAAACATGAAGATAAGTGTATGCATGTTGCTCAATGTATAGCAAGTGACAGTTGCTGTATCATTCATTGTACATACGCTGTTCCTTGAGGCAACTAAATACATTACTGGTACAAAAGATGTAGTGAACACACACACACATGAATAGCAACACTATCAGTTATAGATGTGTCCGTATGCATTGTTAAGTTTAGTATCAATGACTTGTTCTTGTTGTTCATTGTTGAAAGTTGGTAAATCATATATTGGACCAATGTCTACTGGTGATCTTTCTCTTAGTGTATTCCCTTTATTCTTCATTATACAGTATACAATGATACTAGTAATTATTGATGCAATGAGTCCAGTTAATAGACCAGTGATAGGTACTGCAATAGCAACTGAATGTGTGTGTATAATAGATACATTAGATATGTACATACATTAATGTATTAACTAACCAGAACTGATAATGGATCCTGTACAAGTTGATTGATGTGATACTTTAATGACAGAAGTACAGCCTAATAAATATAATAGTAATACCAATTTATTTTAGAAGTGTAAATTGACTACTTAGTTGAAATTTAGTACCACATGCTTAACTTTGTCAATAATTTGTAAACATGATTTAGCAGTTGACTAGTCAGATATAGTCAAAAAATTAAGCCATTTTGGGATTTAAAAGACACAGGCTATAGATCTAGTATGGGCTATTTTAGCTCATTTTGAAATCAAACACAAGTCCACAACTTTAGTTGGAATCACTTCAAAGTTTCTACACAGCATAAGGACATCAATATGTATTGGGAAATGTAATAAAAATTGGGGGTGATTTTGGAGCCATTTTTTGGAAAAAACTATAGGCTAAAGCCTTGGGTAAGTTTCAAAAATTGGCCCGGAATCAGTTCAAACTTTCTACACAACATAAGTACATTAATATGTATCAGAAACTGTAATAAAAATTGAGGATGAATTTGGAACCATTTTTTGGATAAAGCATGGGCTATAGTACAGGAGATTTTTCAAAAATTTGCATAATAGTTTTGTTAATTTTTTGCACAGTTAGTGTGTAACACATTTCAGTAATTTCACTATACCAACTTGTTACTGTTGATGGTGCTATGCTACATGAAGGTACAAATATATCTTCAATGATTGTCAGAGAAGCTGAAGTTGAAATGAATCTGTTATTGTTGCTGCTGGTGAAAGCATCAGATAAACTTTCAGTAACTGAAACTATAACAAGTGTAATATACATGTATCATATCATTACCAGTGAAAGTGGTTGCTGTTGTTGTTGAAATTGACTGTTGCTCAGTTATATTAACTGCAATTATGTATGATACATTATATTACACATTAATCATTAATAAACAAACCTGTAATGTTCATCAGTGGTCCCTCTCCAATAGCATTAACTGGTTTTATGTATACAGTATATTCATTATTGGGATATAGTCCATTAATAGTTACATTAGTATCAGTTGTATTAATAGTAATATTGTGTACACTAACAATGTAATGTACTGGAGGATAATGTAATGTAACATCCTTTTAATAATAATAATGAATTAGAACTAGTACTTGAACATACTTCATTGATATTCCACCATATTGTAATACTATCAGTTGATATCTGATCCCAACTAATATTAACAACTTGAGCTGGTACTATAAGAAATACAATGAGTGTGTGTGTGTAGTACTTACCATTCCATATATACTGTATTAATGATGAAGGAGGTCCTTCTCTTCCAATAGTATCAATAGGAATAATAATAAATGAATAATTAGTACCAATAATAAGAGAAGGAATAGTTGTTGATGATTCATTACTGATCATATGTCCATTAATATTATCATCACTGATTATTGTAATATTATAATATTGAATACAGTGTACTTCATCAATCTTTTCATAGTACCAGTTCATCAATACTGTATTGTTATTAATTGGTATTATCTTTATATTAATAACTGATACTGGTACACCTATACATAGATACAGTATTATGATACATATGGTTCACGATGTATCTTACCTGCAATGTGTACTGTTAATGTACTGTAAGTAATTAAATCTCCAGAGCAGTCAATAACAGTTCCATTAAGTTGTAATGGAACAGACCCTTTTGTAGCAGTACTTACTACTGTTGCTGTATTATAATTAACATCAGTAATTTTTACTATAAAGCCATTTAAAAGTTTAGAATTAATATTAGTTAGAACACGATTTGTGTTGTTGATTCTCCATGCAACTATTCCTTCTCCATAGCTAGTAACACAAGTGAATACTAGTGTATCTCCAGGACATACAATATCATATGATGGAGAGGACTGGTTGAATGATAACACTGCACTTGATGATGATACTGATAATGATCAACAATTAACAACATAACTAATAAATTGTAATGAAACTTACTACAGATACTGCTTGACAACAAAATAAAGAATATGATAATCATCTTCAAAAATCAGCTACACCTTCATACATGAAAGACGCAAAACACTTGTGTTACACTTCACTTTGTTATCATTTTGGAATTACTTGTTATTCCTTATTGCATGAAATTTTCATTCTTCTCCTTATTTATAGTTAGTTAACTATTATTATTATAATTAACTATTATCATTACTTATTATTACACCCTACCATTATTCTTAAACTCCACCCACTATTCTCTTTTCAAAATTTCTACCCAGTTAAAATTTAAACCCATTATTCTTAATTTTTTCCCAAGTAACCTAATAGTGAACACTAATATAATGCATTTATTAACTAGGAAATTCTCATTTACATGCATGCTGCAATATTTGTAAAAAATGCTATACTGTTTTTTGCTTATAAACTAGCATATAAAAATTTTATTAATCGACTCCTATTCACTATGTTATTATTAAATGACAGTTTATGTTATTGTTTTATAGTTTCCAATTGTCGTTTCCCAGTCTACTTATTGTTTTGTACATCAATATGGTTTTCATCATATTCTTGAGAATTAAAGCAATAAAACATTCCCAAATGAAAATTAATTAGTTAATGCTGGATGTAGACTATGATGATACAAATGTAGGCATTTATGCACAATTATCTCATAATCATTAGGTCGTTTGGTATAACGGCTCAAATTTTTGCATGGAATATTTCCATGCCGTAGAAGGACATTTGTTGTCAAAATATTTAAAGAATGCATTATATACTTAGTCAGCAATAGCTGTTATGCTATACTCACAATTGACTGCACATTCAGCTTCCACAAGTATAAAATGACTTTTCTTTTGTTGGCTTTTTGCCTCTGGCACTCTCTTGCCTTCTCTCAAGGTATGTTTAAATTAGGTTGCTCTCACAGTTACTATTTCATCTGTCTAATCTTTTATTATTAATTTTAGTTATAATATTATCACCAAATGATACAGTTTCTGTATGTCAAGGAGAAGTGCAAGCAATAACATGTAATGTGACTGGATCTGTACTCTTATGGGAATATGGAAATAATTCCACCAGCTTCAGTATTGGAAACACCGGACCACAGGAAATTAGGCCATTTAATTTTGTATTACAGTCTCATGGTAATGGTATACTGGTTTCAGTTGCAACTGTTAATGTTTCTACATCAATAAATGGGAGTACCCTTGAGTGTAGGAATACAGGATCAAGCACAGATTCCAGTATAAGGCGAAAAATCAGCTTTAATGTTAAATGTAAGTAGGTTTAGATTAATACCGAGTATGCTGTATTCAAAGTATTACATATGACCATTGTTAGCTATTGCTGTTTCTACAATATTTAAAACTAGAGTGCTAACTGTACATGTATAAGCATGTACCAAAATCATTTTGTGTTTTATGTAGCTAAGAGGTCTTAGAGAGAGGGAGTGGTGGAAAGAAATGTGATAGCACATTCCAATAAAAGGTGTTTATGATAGCTGCAATATCAAGTGATGCATGTTAGGCATTTATCAAAGGATACATACCAGTACTTGTTTATAGTAAAAATACAATATTTATTTTTTGCCCTATTACAGATTCATTTCCAAACAGTTACCTTAATGTTGATGCTGTATCATCAGATACATTATTAATATCTTGGGCTGGAGCTGATTGTATACAATCATATGATGTATTCATTAATGGAACTAATGTTAATACTACCAGTGGAATGAGTCTATTGTATAATACTGGAGGAGCTATTGGCAGTATTGATGTATTGGTTAATAGTGTTGATTATTATGGAAGAGCAGTGGGTAACTTATCAACTCAATATCAATTTAACAGTAAGTGATCTATAGTGACAAGAATACACCTTAGAGCATGTATCATTAACCAATTATAGTGATTCCTATTGATAATGTTATGATAAGCTACAGTTGTGCAGTGTTCTATTTGAACAATCACAACTCTATTTTTAGAATACAACTTTGAGGCTGAGGCTATTATTAGTAACAATATGTCACTGGTCATAATAATTGAGGTAATATTGTTATATTTATATTTATTAAGTTAATAATTTTTGTACATGGCAAATAAAGTATTAATAGAAATTACAGTATTATCTTCTGCTATATAGAAGTTTGAGCTGATTACAACTTAAATTTTTCAAGCTATGGCCATTTTTGAAAAAAAACCCAAGGCTATAACCCTTATTTTTTTCTTTAAAATGGTTTTAAAATCACCCCCAATTTTTATTAGATTTTCTGATACATATCAATGTCCGTATGCTGTATAGCATTAACAAACTTGCCAATTGTTTTATAGGATAATTACATTATTCAACAGCCTGCTCCATTATCCTGTGAATTGACTGTAACTAACTTAATTCAGTCATCAATGGACTGTCTCTCTAAAAGATTGTTTATATTCACTAATGTCACTGAAGGAGATGTGTATAATTATACTGTTACTATTACTAATGTTGTTGGGTCTACTGTTAAGAATGATTCCATAGGTACATAATGAGTGTATTGAGTCAAATTGTTATGATGATTTACTGGAAAATAGTATCATTTTGCTATGCTAAATATGTACATGTAGTCTACACTTATAATGAAATAATTTAATGTATATTTTTTTTAACTTGCAATACTAGAACGAACATGTCCATCAAATGCTCAAAATTGCTGTTCAACTTTTCCAACATCTTCCCAGTCTTGTTCTGCATCAAGTCAGTATTATAATAGTCTAGTCTAGTAGTCAAATTATATTTTGTGCTTCTAATCATTTACAAACTTAAATTCAGTAATATTGTACTATAATGTGAAGCCCCCAAATACATGGATTAATCTAGTTTTGAATTCTTGCTCAAAATAGGAAGTGAAATTATGTTATTTTTGTCATATCAAATGCATTAATTGTATGTCATTATTCACATATTGCTTGTTGTTATTCTTGTTTTTGCTATCAATATTATTATTATTATTATTATTATTATTATTATTACTATTATTATTATTATTATTATTATATTATTATTATTATTAGCTACAGATCCGTGTACACCAACTCCCAGTAATAGACCTGGTGGATCAAATTGTGTTCTTCCTTGGATATTTGGTGTGATAGCTGGGACAGTGGTGGTTTCTTTGATTTAGCTTTTACTTCAAAGGTAAAACTAGTAATGAAATCTGTTTTATTTTCATTATAAGCACTAATCATGTAGAAGACTTACAACATTGTGCACTACAAGAAGCATAATGTCTTCCTGAGTAGAAAATATTAGTGTCATAATAGCTCTTCATTAGCATCAATTCTATTACTAACTTAGACATTTCATTAGCTACATATGCAGAGTGTGTATCAATTTAGTTTTCCTTTTTGATAGTCAATTTAATCAAACAACAAAACTTACTGTCTATTTCAATATAATCACACAAAAATTAATAGCTACTTATACATTGTATACATTTAAACATGAAGATAAGTGTATGCATGTTGCTCAATGTATAGCAAGTGACAGTTGCTGTATCATTCATTGTACATACACTGTTCCTTGAGGCAACTAAATACATTACTGGTACAAAAGATGTAGTGAACACACACACACATGAATAGCAACACTATCAGTTATAGATGTGTCCGTATGCATTGTTAAGTTTAGTATCAATGACTTGTTCTTGTTGTTCATTGTTGAAAGTTGGTAAATCATATATTGGACCAATGTCTACTGGTGATCTTTCTCTTAGTGTATTCCCTTTATTCTTCATTATACAGTATACAATGATACTAGTAATTATTGATGTAATGAGTCCAGTTAATAGACCAGTGATAGGTACTGCAATAGCAACTGAATGTGTGTGTATAATAGATACATTAGATATGTACATACATTAATGTATTAACTAACCAGAACTGATGATGGATCCTGTACATGTTGATTGTGATACTGTTATGATAGAAGTACAGCCTAATAAATATAATATAGTAATACCATTATATAGCTAATAATTTGGAGGAGAAACTTTTAGGTAAACTTAACTACTTGATAGACCTATACTAACACAATTATTTATTCTTAAAAATGGTCACTAACTTTTATGCATTTAGCAGTTGACCAGTGAAAAAGCATTTTTAAGAAATGGCTATAACTTGAAAATTTTAAGTTGGAATCAGCTCAAAATTTCTACACAGCATAAGGATGTCAATATGTATCAGAAAATTTAATAAAAATTTGAGATAATTTTTGAGCCATTTTTTGGAAAAAACCATGATTTATAGCCTTGGGTATTTTTTAGAATTTTGGCGTATTCTTGAAATGGCCTTAACTCGAAAAATTTAAGTCGGAATCAGCTCAAACTTTCTACACAGCATAAGTGCATTTATATGTATAAGAAAATTAAATAAAAATTTAGGGTCTTTTCGGAGCCAATTTTTGGAAAAACCATGGGCTATAGCCTTGGGTATTTTTTAGAATTTTGATGTTTTTTAAAATGGCCATAACTCGAAAAATTTAAGTCAGAATCAACTCAAACTTTCTACACAGCATAAGTGTATCTATATGTATAAGAAAATTAAATAAAAATTTGAGGTAATTTTTGAGCCATTTTTTTGAGAAAACTATGGGCTATAGCCCTAGGTATTTTTCAGAGTTTTGGCGTTTTCTTAAAATAGCCATAACTTGAAAAATTGAAGTCGAAATCAGCTCAAACTTTCTACACAGCGTAAGTACATCAATATGTATCAGAAACATTAATAAAAATAATGTATATAGTACAGGAAAATTGGCATAATAGCTTCATTAATTTTTGCACAGTTAATGTGTAACTTATTTCAATGACTTTACATGATTTAGAATCACTATACCAACTTGGTACCATTGATAGTTCTATGCTACTTGAAGACAATAATTTATCATCAATGATCATCATAGATATTGATATTGAGTCATCGCTGCTACTGGTGGTAGCATCAGATGAACTTTCTGTAGCTGAAACTATAACAAATATAATATACATGCATCATATCATTACCAGTGAAAGTGGTTGTTGTTGTTGTTGAAATTGACTGTTGCTCAGTGATATGAACTGTAACTACTATGTATGACACTTTATACTACACAATAATCATTAATAAACAAACCTGTAATGTTAATCAGTGGTCCCTCTCCAATAGCATTAACTGGTTTTATGTATACAGTATATTCATTATTGGGATATAGTCCATTAATAGTTACATTAGTATCAGTTGTATTAATAGTAATATTGTGTACACTAACAATGTAATGTACTGGAGGATAGTGTAATGTAACATCCTATTAATGATAATAATGATTTATAGTTAATAATATCTTAACATACTTCATTGATATTCCACCATATTGTAATACTATCAGTTGATATCTGATCCCAACTAATTCTAACAACTTGAGCTGGTACTATAAGAAATACAATGAGTGTGTGTGTGTATAGTACTTACCATTCCATATATACTGTATTAATGATGAAGGAGGTCCTTCTCTTCCAATAGTATCAATAGGAATAATAATAAATGAATAATTAGTACCAATAATAAGAGAAGGAATAGTTGCTGATGATACATTATTGATCATATGTCCATTAATATTATCATCACTGATTATTGTAATATTATAATATTGAATACAGTGTACTTCATCATTCTTTTCATAGTACCAGTTCATCAATACTGTATTGTTATTAATTGGTATTATCTTTATATTAATAACTGATACTGGTACACCTATACATAGATACAGTATTATGATACATTATGATTCATGATGTATCTTACCTGCAGTGTGTACTGTTAATGTATTACTAAAATGAACTCCATCTCCAGAGCAGTCAATAACAGTGCCATGAATATGTAATGGAACAGACTCTCTTGTAGCAGTACTTGTTAATGTTGATGTAGTATCATTAGTATCAGTGATTTTTAATGTAAAGCCTTTGAGAAGTTGAGGATTAATATTGATTAGAACACGATATGTCCTGTCAATTCTCCATACAACAACTAATCCCCCTTGATAACTAGTAATACAAGTGAATTCTAGTTTATCTCCAGGACATACAATATCATATGATGGAGAGGACTGGCTGAGTGACACTGTAGTTGATGATACTAATAATAAATCACATTACTAATAAGTGATAAATTATAATGAAACTTACCACAGACACTGCTTGACAACAGAATAAAGAATATGATAATCATCTTCAAATATCAGCCACACTTTGATTGAGTAAAAAACACTTGTTAGTTATGCCGCACTTCAATTTGCAATAACTTTTATTCCTTTATATTGCAATTCATGCTCTCCTACTATGACTAATGCAACATATTGATTGTTATTTCATCATGACGTCCCTCTACATTCACCAGAGTATTATTGTTCCAAGAATTTATATTGTTGCAAAGTGTTTCAGCTAGTATAACTACTGGTTTAATGACAGCTAGTCCCCAACACTGGACATCACATTTATAAAAAAAGTGTTGCCATAGCTTTATGTATGTACAATAGTTGTGGAATAATAATTATTATAAAAGTTATAATTATTGAGTAATTGCAAACTTGGACCTGCATGAGAAATGGAATCTACTGTTATTTTTTACAACTAGTTAATGATGCACTTAATTTTCTTCAATCATTACAATAATTAGCACACAAATCTTATTGTGTTATTTAAAAATCACAATTTTTTATTTTAATATTTCTAATTGTCATTTCCCAATTCAATTATTGTTTTGTACATCAATGCTTTTATCT